GCATTTGGACACCGAGAAGAATTGTGACTCGAATCACGTGGTGCATGAAGCTAATGAAAGGCTCAAGCTGAAGCATGGCATTCATTTCATCACTGTGCAGGCATCTTTTCCTTTCCAATTTTACTACACCAAAGTATTTGCTCATTCCAGAAACTACTCCACTTACCAACACACGGTTTTTAAGCTAACATTCTGGACTTTTCAAATATCGGAAATGGGTAACTGAACGCGTCAGGGGACTACTATCGCATCCAGCTCGCTTTGAAACAAGGAAAGTTGCTGGCACTGCGATAGAATGACCCTTTTATCAACAGTGATGATACTCAAGGAATATGGCGGTGAATTCCACGACAATTAGCACTCCCAAAAGTTGTCAGAGCGCTAGTATCCAGGACCCATTCGGCATGCCTTTATCTTTTACAGAAAATGATTTATAAAAAGACGGCAGGTATGAGCATTATTAGGTCGAAGGTTCCACTCGGCCGGTGAGACAGCCCGTCTCTCTACGATTCGTTCATTCGTTTCGATGGTAAATTGGTACTGGCATATGCCACGAAGTCAAATCCGCCATCAGCTTGCCTGTAAGCAACCCCCGAAAGAGATAGCCATCGACAGCCTCGCTAGCAAGTGGTTGTTGTTGACATTTGCTATCACTCGGGCAACTTCTTAAGTGCGAAAACAAAGAGAATTTTTAACTTTGAATTTTTTGATTTGTAAAAAATCCTACGCCGATTTGCAAGATCTCCACTGTATCTCACATTAAGCATGAATTCCTTGCTTCACAATGAAATTTGGATATATTTAGGTGCAATGTGTATGCAGTCGCACAGTTTCACTTCAGTCGTTCCAGCCCGCAGCAGCAGCAACAGCAGCGGCCGCAGAGAACACTGATCCAGAATTGTAGTGCTCTTTTTTAGTAATAACATATGCTGCTTTATGTATAATAACCACTTATAAATCGTTCTTCATGAAAGACTGTAATTTATTACCTAGGATTCATCTCTGTTCTTTGCACAGTGCTGCAGAAAAGTACTACGGCGAGGAATTACATGTGATATGTCCACCGAATCCA